AAAAAAAAAAAAAAAAAAAAAAAAAAAAAAAAAAAAAAAAAAAAAAAAAAAAAAAAAAAGTTAGAGATTCTTAACAAAATCAACTCTCTTATGCGATGCGTTTTATGTTTCTTGTGTGACAGAAAAACTACTGTATAAAACAATAAGACATTTGTCTCACCTTTTCATGCATTTACCCCTCCCAAAATTCCCTAGCTTACTCGGTCATCAAATTTGTTAAACTGATTTTAAAAAAAATCAATATAGGTACAGTCCATTGGTTCCATCTAACCAATGGTCGTCCTCTATAAATATCCAACTATCGCCTAGCGATTTTCTTAGAACATTAGATATGTCATTGGAGTATATCTGTATAACTTAAATGGTAACAACATTTTAGATTGGAAATGGATCAACATTGACATATTTATGACTAGAAACGATAACTAAAGATAACTTGATTGGCTGTTTATTTGCTGGCTTGACAGGGAAAAAAGACAAAGTTAAACTTAATTAAAAGTTTTCTTCTGAAGCTAGTAATTTGGCAACTAACTGACTTTTACACCCAAAAAAAAAATTGGCAGCTGACTGTTTTTAGTGGTGCAAATTTAGTTTTTCAAGCATAAACAAAACAAACAATCAAATGACGTTTTTTAAATTTTGGAAAAAGGCACCTTTGAGTACCATTTGTATTTGAATTTTAACACGTACGAGTGGACTACCATTTCGTTTATAGTTCCCGCCGTATTGGCACGAATACCAGTTCGTTCTCTTTTTTTTCTGTACCAAACAAATAATTATTTTTCTTTGTGCAACCTTCTAATTAAATACTTAAGTATGAAATTCTCTTCACATGTCGATGTAATTTACTTTTGTCTTGTAGCAACATAGGCAATTATAAGGTCACATGGCAATGTACTGTTTTAACGTGCCATCTGCCATGTTCCGTGGCCAAAGCTAATCAAATTGTACAGTTTATATAAATAGATACTGTGCAGCAGTCATACATGTAAGATATTGAAATAACATAAGAAACAAATTGTTATGTTTTTCCTTTACTCAAATAATTATTGTCCTATTAGTGAAAAAAAACATTTTAACTTATGAATTACCTGGACTCCAATCTAGTAGTATCAAAATGTATAGCTTGCACGAATCATTTAACATTTTTTTTTTTTTGGTAAAAACGAATCATTTAACTTTGGCTATAAACTTATATCATCTGTATACTTATGCGTACCATTGATAAAACTTTTCCAATAATACGGACAAAGCTATACTCATCAATCATCTGTTTTTAGAGCTATTGGAGGTAGTAACATGCAATATGAAACAAACCGATAACATTTAAAAGAACATTATAAAACAAAACAAAGAAAACTGATAAGAACCAAAACATACGTAATTGCTACATTTGGTTTTAAATTTACTAGCTAATGTGTATTCATTTGATTTTAGGCAAAGTTTAAATAAAATATTTTTTATTGCTTAAACAAAACGTCTCAATTTTCATTCCCGGTTGAAGTTATGTATCTGCCTACTATTTACGTAATCTATCAATCGTTATTTAATTGTCCAAGCAACATGATTTAACATTTAAGGGGAGTACGACAAACACCTCTATAAATGTTGGGGCTAGTTTCGTAAAACCACCAAAAGTGAGGGCCATAATTAGTTTTTTTTTTTGTTTAGTTGTTTTTAAGTTATATACAAAAGATCCAACAAATCTTCGAAATCAAAATTCGAATATTCCTTTTATTTATTTGTTTCTTCTCCTCCTTCTTCAATCTTTCCTCCGTCATTCAGATTTGGAGAAAACAGAGAGGAGAAGGATTCGTGTAAGCAATCTCAAAACGGTTCCTTTTCTTCTATTCTCTATCTCCCTCTCTCCTTTCGTTCCAAAATTGTTACAGAAAAGAGAGAGATGGAGAGAGAAGGAGAAACAACAACCAATTCGAGAAGATATTCTCTGAGCTTTTGGGAGGTCACAACAGCTTCCGGCGTCGTTTTGGGCTTTCTTGTTGGCCTTGTTTGCGTTTATCTCACAATGCCTCATTCTGATTACAGCTTCCTCAAGCTCCCTCGTAATCTCGAAGATCTTCAGATTCTTAGGTCAAATTTTGAATCTTTTCTTCTGGGTTTCTATAAAGTTTCAATCTTTATGCATTATGATTCTGGAATCTATAAATTTGACAAAGTTTTGATTTTTTTAACATGAATTTGGTTAAATTACTAAATTTGAGATTTGTTGGGTTTGTTTTTTTATTACAGAGACAATCTGGAGATTTACACAAGTGATTACACAGTTCAAGTTCTTGTCGGATATTGTCTGGTGTATGTTTTTATGCAGACATTTATGATCCCCGGAACTGTGTTCATGTCTTTGCTTGCTGGTGCTCTCTTTGGAGTCATCAAAGGAATGGCTCTTGTTGTCTCCACAGCAACAGCTGGCGCTTCATCTTGTTTCTTCCTATCCAAGCTCATTGGTAGACCTTTGATTTTCTCGCTTTGGCCCGACAAGCTCATCTTCTTCCAAGACCAGGTCGCGAGGAGGAAAGATGGGTTGCTGAACTATATGCTCTTCTTGAGACTAACACCAACATTGCCTAACACGTTCATTAATGTTGCTTCTCCTATTGTTGATGTTCCTTACCATATCTTCTTCCTCGCTACATTCATTGGTCTGATTCCTGCTGCTTATGTCACTGTCCGGGTATTTGATTTGATCATTTCAGGCATCTTTGGGTTTTCAGTGAGTATGAATGTTTTTTCAAATTGTAATGTGTTTGGCTTCTGTGTCACAGGCTGGGATCGCTCTTGGAGAGCTGAAATCATTGGGAGATCTTTATGATTTTAGCTCAATGGCAACTCTGTTTCTCATCGGTGTGCTCTCTATCACTCCAACCCTAATTAGCAAGAAAAAGGCTTAGAAGAAGAAGATTTAATGGAAACATAAAGACAAAGCCTTCTCAAATATATTGGATGATATGCTGAGAGCATTGCAAAAGCCTCTCTTGTGTGTATATATTTAGAATGTTTAGGACCGATTTCAAACCCACTTGTTCTTTACATGTTTTTAAACTTTTAAATTTAATGTAATGAAATAATATATCTCAAATGTGATGCATGGGCCGTTCGACAACATGTTTACAGGCCTAGTTTATAATCAAAGATATCCATAAAAGTGGCCTGAGCCTGAATTTTCATTGCTTGGGTTTATATCGGATTCTATAGTGACCCATCTAAAACATAGCTTCGTATATATACCGCAAGCTTGATAAGATATCGATCCAAGTCTCCAAAATCCCAACCAACCTATTTTGGGAGAGGGAGAAGGGGAAGGGTTTATTGAGACCCATGACAGCCACGATCAATAAACTAAATTATCTGATTAGGAGAAATTTGGCTCCTCTGGCACTTACCAATTCAAACTTCAAAGGTTGTAAAAGGTCGGCCAAGATTAAAAAAATGCGGATAAACATTTATTGTAAATGCTAACAGAAAACTCTGTTAAAATTTGGTAACTGTTAGAATGTCATGTTTCTCACTCTTATGAAATTAGGGTTGATAAAATTCTTACAACTGTAATGAATAAGAAAAAATAAACTAAGAAATCTTAATTAAGAGCTGATTTTCAATTAAGATTCATGCGCCTGTCTTTTAACAACTCGATTTTCCCAGTTATATTCTTGTGGAGTCAAATTTCAATATTGACAAAATTTCCAAACACCTTAATTTCAATATAGTTCAAAATGGTTATCCACAATAGTCATCTCGTATTCTTTAAAATATTGTATCCCATTATTTTTTAAACCATCTAAATATACATGGTCGTTGAGTGCTTCAGATTTTTCAAAGAAATTTCGTTTGAAGTCTCTCAAATGACTATGTAAACCTATAGCAAAATCCTCGAGAATGCTCTGAATTTAGGTGTAGAAGGGGGTTACCACGTTCTCGAGTTTGGCCATCAACTTTTTACTCATGATAAATGAGAAAAATTAAAATGAGAAAAATCATATTGTGGATAAGATAGTTAGCCATCATTCTTATAAATAGAGAGGGGTTAAGCCATGCAGAAGGGATCGACCCATAGAGATCTCAAACACAAGGATGATCAAACCCAAAAGGGCTAAGGTAAGTATTCGTCCCACCCATTCATAGTCCACATTCCACACCCGGATATCCACTAAGGTAAAGAGAGTTCCAACCCCTATATCTTGAGACTAATTATACGTGCAATCATAAACATATGACAGAGAGGATTCCCAATTTTTAGACAAGACTTTTTTACTAGCTAATCCGCACACTTCTACTATAAACATAAATAAAATAAATGTAAACTAAGATAAATAAAAATCGAAACAAATTCTACTCTCACCGATAATAAAACTGGGTATAATCCAAAATAACTAATTGTATACATGTTACGTTTATATATTATTGCACTATACCACTATTGCTAAAAGTTTAAGTATAACAGGAGGGATGAATATAAAAATAGAAAGATAGACCAAGGAACTTTTTCAGAGAATATAATTTCCAGATAAAAGCTCAACTAACTAATCAAAAGAAAATTCTCTTACAGATAAGCACCACAGCACAGCGGTTTAATAACTTAATCTGCTTCCATACGAGATTCCCATAAAATCATTAACAATTTAGTTAAATTATTATAAGCATATGAATCTGATATAAAGATTTTAACTAAACGAGAAGAAGAAAACAATCATCAGCCGTACAAAATAAAACTTATTTTCATCCACACATATGGGAAACATGAATTAATATATATAAAGATATTATAAAAATATGTAATGCCCCAATAAAACCATTTTATTTTCATACTGCATCCAAAACTAACAAATACAAACAAATCCACATCTCTCATAGAATCGAAATATTATATTTTGCCAGAAGTGTGTTTCTTAAAATAATTACACCCGCAAATTATAGACATAGAGATATTATAAAGACACAAAACAAAGTATAACTGTACAAATATAATAAAACCTACAGCACATAACAATGACTCCAATAAAATTGGAGAAATATTAATACAAATAACAAACGAACAGGTTTCCTTGTTTAGTTCATCCAGATAAAAAAAATGATAATAATCCCGTAGATATTCTAGGGCTCCAAGAAAATGAAAAGCAATGTTTAATTGACATTAAATCATAGACAAAACATATGATATACCTATATCAATACATTAATACATATGTTAATCTCCATGCTACACCCATACACAATCACATGTAACATACCTACATGTATATAGAGATGAAGAAATCATATATATAGCAGCAATTATGAAGAATATCCATATGAGCAATGTTTTTTTTTGTTTGGTTTGGTAGTGGCACATTGTTCTATCTGAGAACATATTAGAAAAAAAAATATTTATCATAATTCTATCACCAAATCCACCTAAAATACATGCGTTTTCTCTTAATCATTGCACTGACCAAACACACAAAAGAACCTGGATTTAATGTACTCCTCAACAAACCTAGTATATAGAGCAACAAATATAGAAATTTGATTCATAACCGACAACCTTATTCAAATTCTAATAGACTATATAGTCAATATGAAAACTTCGTGATATAGGAATTGTACTTAGAAATGAAGAAAGATAGAGGATTCTTTTCATCGCAGACGAGCACAAATAGAGTTTCACAGAAGGAAGCAAAGGATTAAAACATAAAATTCTACAAAACGCAAAAGGAAATGAAAAACCTAAAACATAACATAATGAACGAGATAATAACGATGATAATGTGAAATTCATTAGTCCATTAGAAACTTCTCTAACCTTTCTTCACTCACGCAAATTCCTCGCCGGAAAAGCTCCTCCGCCGGTGAATATATAATGATTATCAATATATATACACATCAGAAAGGACCTCTTCCACCTGAATTCCCCGGCCAACCATCCACCGGAAGTTGCACATTCGGTTGCATATTCATAGGTAAATTAAAGAACGGAAGTCCTCCTCCTCCTCCGGCAGAAACCTCCGGAAACAAATTACCTCCGCCGTTAGATCCTCCAAGATGTTGCTGCTCATCTTCTTCTAATGGAAGTCTCTCATAAGCAACATTAGTAAACGAGGAAGCGATTACAATCACCGGTCCAGCCGCCGTAAGCTCACCGACGACGCTTCCTCCGACGACTTGTCCTTGTCCTCCGGCCAAAAATATTGTCAAACTCGTAGCTCCTGGAGGAGCCGGAGGAGGAAGAAACGAGCCAGAGAGAGAAAGAATCTCGAACGTCCCTTGTAGCGTCACGACCGCTCCAGCCGCGGATGGCTGACGTATGGTGACGTTAGTCACCGTTCCGCTACCGCTCAGGACGCAGATCCCTCGCTGTCTTCGGCGAGCGTAAGTAGCAACGCAGTCAAAGACGTCGCAGCCGTTTGTCACTTCGAGAATATGAGCCCTAAGTGTGTTTGCGCTCTCGCGCGTGATTATCACCGGAGGTTTAGGTTTGTTTTTGGATCCTGGTGGTCTTCCACGTGGACGACGGCCAACGGAGTTTCCTCCTCCACCTCCACCTCCAGAGCTTCCTGATCCTCCACCAGAGGCTAAGTCAAGACCTTGATGGTGGTTGTTGTTGTTGTCTTCGTCGTCGTGGACGGTGAAATGAGCAAGTCCGGAGCCTGGAGTGACGTCATCGGATGATGAGTTGTGGTGGAGATGGAGATCGGGACGATGGAGCTGGTGATTAACGTAGCGAAAAGCTGGGCCTAGATCAAGACCAGCCATGCCCAAATCAAAAGCAAATGAGAAATTTTAATTTGTAAAAAAAATTATATAAAAAACCACACACACATACAACAAGATTAAAATAAAGAGATTTTCTATGTTTTTCGTTTTAAAACAAGAAAAATTATACTAGAAAAATAATGAGAGAGGATGGAGAAGAAGTTTGGAAGAGAAAGGTAAATGATAAAAAGTAGAAGGAGAAGGTGAGACTAAGATAAAGCATTAAAGAAGAAGAAAAATATATCTGCGTATAGATAGATATATGTATGTAAATGCAGTCACTTGTCTAACCTAAACTCTTACAAGTATTTATTAATAAATATTTCGTTTTGGTACAGACTTCAATTCAAACTTTCATCTCCTTGAGAATTTTGTGTCGTTTTGTGTGTTTATGTAGGGGTTCCGGTTTGCATTGGTGTTGTTCTTGTGCTCACGAATTTATAGACCATATTTATATTTAAAAATTTGTAATATGTAGGCAAAAAAAATCTTTAGACTTTTTTTTTCCGTTTCATAAAATTATTTTATAAGAAGTAAAATCATATATTTGCTTTACAAATTATAATTGTTAATGTTTAGATATATCAAAGTAAGAAAGATAAACTGCCCAGATTGGTATTGGTGCGAGACTATGCGTATATGAATACAAAGTTTCAGTATTAGCATTTAGTATACTAATTAGACAAAATATCATTTTGACAACTATTTAGTAAAACATTAAAAATTGTATTAAGAATTTTTTAAAGGAGGTAATATTTAGGCACAGATTTGGTGTGTGAGAATTTAGGAAGGATATGAATGTGAGTGACTGGGTGTGATTTAATTTAATTGGTATATAAGTTCAAATATTTGGAGAAAATGAAAGTGTTTTTTTTTGAGAATTGGCTTGAGAAATGAAAGTTTTAATTAAGATGAAAATGCCATCATGATAATATGTGGTTGGGGTCTTCTTGTGGGTTTCATTAAGATGTTTCCCCTTTTATGTCCTTCAAAACATTATCCACCATCATTGCTATGCTTTGCACCTGTTACTGATAATTAATTTAAATTTAATGAATGTTATGTATGTGCTACCTAATTTATACAACAATCATCTTAGTATATGTTAACAATCATATTAGTTTCCTAAATAAAACAATCGTAGAAAACAAAACTTATATTAGGCCACGTCAAAAAATACAATCAAGGTGTGTAAGCAATTTAGAAAGAAACAAAACTTAGGCCAACACAGATGTAGTCACTTTGTATATAAAATATTAATTTTTGAACCGAATAATTGTTAGCTAACCATGGTTAACTAAAAAGTTGACCAAATTAATCAAAATTAAGCTTCATTTGAGAAGGAGAATATTAAGTGGGGAGAGGAGAGAAGCGGCTCGTGGGGTCCACAATTGTCTGAACCAGGGTTTCTCTTCGGTCTCACGAAGAGCTGGGGATTTTACTTGGCTTTGAGTCCTTGACCGTCTTTGTTTGTAAATGAGTTGGGATCTAATCATTTTAAACCAATAATTTCGTGCCTTAATGTTGTTGCATTCAATTCATTATTTAAATTCGCGTTTTATCAAAATTATTGGATTGTATCCTCTCAATTTCACACAAAAATATGTAGCATTTTAAAGTAATTTCTTATTTGACTAAATTAGTTTTACATTTTTATTGTCTTCCTAAACCAAATTAATTTTCAGAAAAAGTGTCATTTCTCACTTTTTGCATAAATTTTAAATATATATATATATATTTATGTTCTTATTAATTACATCTAGTTAACCAAAAATATTTGAGATAAATAAAACTATTTATAAGATCAATATATTTTATAATTAATAATAAACTTAAAGTAAATATAATTATTTTAAAATTCTATAATAACATTCTTTGTATAACAAAAAAATATGTCAAAATGACATTCTTTATGAAAAAGAGAGTATTAATTTACCCCTTACTCAAACATGATACTTTGTATTGATAGGATCATTTAAATAGTACTAGTGTATTGAATAAATACATTATATTGTGCTTTGAATAAAATTTATCTTGTGCTACAAAGAATAAAATGTATTAACACGACACAAAATATAGCGGATGAAGTATATATGTATATATCTAAAGTAAGAACAATAATGATAAACTCAATCTAGTAAACTTTTTTACTTAAGAAATAACTTAAATTCTGATCAGTCACGTGAATCATTTTTTCTTCGGGCTTACAACTTACAAGTGTTAAAGTTTTCATTCTCAGGAAACATCTCTAATTATTGTTGTCTAGTTCGATATTGAGATATTTCAATACATAATATAAGGCGCGGAGCTTACTATAATTACTTCAATATACTCCCTCTGTTTTATTATAAGTGTCACTCTACAGCTGTGCACACGGATTAAGAAAACAATTAATTTTACATATTTCCTATATAAAAACACAGTTACCCATACACCTAACCATATTTTAACCAATAGAAAAACAAATTACATAATAAAATTAATAAATTTTGCATTGAAAACCGAAAACGACACTTATTTTGTAACGTAAAAAATTCTCTACAACGACACTTAATATGAAACGGAGGGAGTATAATACTAGGTGTTTTGCCCGCGCATGCGGGCTTGATTATCTTTAAATCAATTTAAAAAATCATCAAAATAAATGATTATATGCATTCAAAAAATTTGACCTAAAATATCATGATAAAGTTATTCACAAATTTTTAAAAAAACTATTTTTTCCTTTAAATCTTTGAAAAATCTAAAGTCTATTTCATTTCTTCTTAATAGATAAAAAATATAGAAATCTATCTTTCCATTTGAAAAATTGAATCGATAAATATACATTCAAAAATTGATCTTACAAAAAAATAACATTACTTTGGATAATAATAAAATATATTTGAATTTATTTTTATCAAACATGTATTTTCTTTCTTTATTAATGATCTTTTATTTTATATGATTAATTGATGTTTAAGATTTAACTATATAAAATATAAATATAAATTTAATTTAACGTGTGAGTTCAGAGGAGAAAAATAAATTCACAAATATATATATATATATATCATTATATTATATTATATTATATTATTATATTCTTTTAATAAATAATTACGTATTATATTTTTCTAATTTTTCTCTTTTGAATTATATAAAATTAAAAAATTTAATTACTTCAATACATAATATAAGGCATCCACTCATGAATTTCTCAAGATCAAGACCAATATATATGTATATGTTAGACATAATCAAAGCATCGGATTCATAACCGTCAATTGAATCCAAACAATTTCTTAACTGGCTGTGATAGCATAGCAACATATGGAGTTGCTTAATTAATACTGAAATTTGTTTTACACTCTAAATCTTCTGATCTATATAGTATGAATTTCATCGAATAATTATATGTCAAAATGATTACAATCAAATCAAATAGCCTATGTCTTTAAAATTTTTAATTGGCTTCAATATTTTAGGGTTAATTGTACATTCCACGTGCAAAAGTTTGCAGATCTTTTAACCCTTTAAAATATATAATCCTTCCACGTTATGACTTAGAATAATGTACAGTCAAAAGGGCTTGCTTTTCAGTGAAAATGTTAGTTTTACGTAAACAGTGTATTTCAGAAGATGTATGAGCCACTTCTATTGTGTCAAATATAGTATCTAAAAAATTGTTTAAGAATTTGATAAGTTTTCCAGTGGTAAATAAGTGTCTAGTACAAATTCTGCTAATCAAATTCCATTTTCGTTGGGAGAATACATTGTTTGAGTTCTCTGATAAAATGTGAAATCTCATTTCTATTTTACCAAAAAAATGTAGTGTTGACCCGAAAAAAAGAGCTTGATAAGTTGATATTTTCTGTAACCACTAAAATTGAAAAGCAAAGCCTATTGGCAATGACGACTTTTGTAACGAATGTGGTGGTGTCTGACGAAGCCATATATATAATATACACTGATCTTAAATTATTATGTACTCTTTTTAGTATATTATATTTTAAGGTTGTTTGTGGTTTATGGTTCCTTGTCCAATAGCATTTTTGTAGACGCATATAAAGTGGATCTTTAGGTTGTAAATTACCGGGAGCTGTTAGGCCATCTTTATTGCAAATAGTATTATTGAGAAAAAACGAACATATAAATAGTATTCTTTTGGAGGAAATATTATTCACAACCTCAAGAATTATTTTATATATAAATTGGTCCTTAAACTCTTATATAATATTTTTATGTTTAAAAAGATTTTATACTTGGGTTGAATACTTCAAAAAAATTATTAAGCCCTTCATAGTACAATTATAATTTTATATAAATTATTTTATATTCTTAGAAACTATAGATATGTATATAATAAATATATAGTTAAATAAACTTATTTTAAGGTAAAATTTTAAAAATTTTAAAATCACATACATTATTAGAAGAAATAGTGAGTATTAATAAGATAATATATATTTTGAATATTCTATTTTGAGGAGAAGAATGAAGAAAATAATTGAAATACAACACAAAACTTATTTTGTAATTTAGAACATTTTGTGATAAGTGTGACTACAACTTTATCATTCGCTAAAATCTAAGGATAAGTGATAAGTGAAATACAACACTTTGGCTGATAATCTAGTGATAATGTACTAGTTGACAATCTAGTGATGAAGTAACTACTAGTTATACAACACAAACTTATTTTATGGCTAGAACTCAGTCACGTGTTTTTTATTTAAAAGAAATAAATAGAAATTAAACCTAATAAATTTTTTAATTAAATTTAAAATCTTATATAATATATTTAAATTATGATTTTAAATTTAAAACATGTATTAGAAGTTAGAACATAATATGGGCTAAAATATTTTTTTTACATTTTGAACCAATTACTTGTCTTATGTTCAACAGTTAATATATTTAACATATTTTTCAGTTTATATTCAGAAATATAAAATAAAAATTTTATATAATAAAAGTGAAATATGATACCTTTGCTATATTATATATCATAAAAATGTTAAATATTTAAAACAAAATATTGCAACTATCAATAAGAAAGTACTGAATAAGTTTTCACAATTATACAAAAAGGAATTTATATCATTATAATAATCAAAATATAAACCACGTTTAGAGTGATGACATTCTTGATCAACATGCATCTTCTGAAACAAAATATTGGAAGAAGTTAACG